AATTGATGTCAAACGAATATGCATCCTCATTCATCTTGATTTTTTTGTGAAATCTACGTCTGTTAGTCTCAAAACTATGTGTTGTGGTCTGTCTTTTATGTATTGCTTTATGAAGTTTTGTGAAAAATCTGAAAGTGATGGAGAAAATGGATATAATATTCGGATTCAGTGTACAGTAATTACTGTACAAATTTCAAGACAATAAGACCAATTGGCCTGTGTTATTGTTCTGTGCCTAGTCTTTCGATAATTCTATATTAGGATTACATAATTTCTTAACAGTTTATTAATTGTACAAGAAAAAATAAATTACAGAGTATAGAACTGCTAGTGCCCAAATTTTCAAAATATTGTGTAGTTCTATTTAAACTATATCACTGGTTTTAACACCTAAATTATTTATAGATGTAATTCCAAGACACTTACAGTAACACGTGCCAAAAACAAAAAAGAACAAAGTTATTTAAAGCTTTTATAAAGTCATTGTCTTGTATTGATTGTGATATATTTGCTTACTTGTTTAATAATTTCGAACAAGTCTACAGAAGGGTTATCTGCGCACAGCCGCCCCTAAATTTGATCAGATAAGGGAAGGCAGTTAGTCAACAACATCTATCGCTAACTATTGAGCTATTCTAATCGAATACTGAGATTTGACCGCCACTCTTATAGCACACCCATGGGCCCAAAGTGCGAAGTGCGTTATTGCACCAAGGGGACAAAAACTTGCTAATTACTAGCCACACCCGGCTTCTGTTATAATATGAAAAGTGAAGATAGTGTAATGATATTAATGTGATAATCTTTTTTAAAAAAAATTAATAATTATTTTTTTGAAAATATCTGTTTATGTTCTGGCATTTGTAACTTCTGGACTTGTTGTATATGTATACATACGTGTGGTTATTTTTTCCAGTACATTGTCTACAATGTTCCTTTGTTATAACACCTTAAGATATAAACAATGCTCTCATGTTGATTCGGTTAAACAAGTGAACGCTGTGATGCGTGTGGCCTCAGTCTCAAGACCCTGTATAACTTACCAGAAAAGCCACACAAATGAGGGTATAACCACGCATTTTCAGAAGGCTACGTGCTATTTCCTGATAGAAGTCATGAAAGTGTTGAACCCCCTCCCCCCTTCTTCTCTTTCTAAGGTGTGGGCTTGGACCACCGCAGTCACTCTCTGCTCATCCTTCTCTTCGTGAGGAAATTAATAGCCTACCATATCTCCTTGACAGCCGACATCTTTATCAGCTCTCTAGAATGTTTTTAAGGATATTTGTTTTCCTTCAAGCTACGTTCATCGTATCTCCTCATCAGGATTCTGAACGCCAGTATTAATTCCAACTGTCGACCACGCCACAATTTAAGTAAAGATATAAGAAGAACACGGACCGCGAGCTGCTTGGCCATCTAATATGACGGCCAAATACATTCCTATTTAGGGTGGTTGTGAGTAAGAGATGGTTCGCTGGTACCACAAGACTGACATAGACACACATCGTTTACATTACATAGTAGTTCTAACGATACTATTGTTACAAAAGGCATTAAAAACAGCGGCTGTCAGTTTAGAAATAAAACTACTGTTTAAAATATCTAATACACTAAGACTAAATACAGGGAAGTTACTGTACTCTCGATTCATTAATGGAAACGATGAACACTTTCACAGAAATGTGAAAAAGTATCGTGGGAATTTGTATGGCATGTGCTAGGTAGAAAAAAAAATGCGAATGACTTATTCTGAACCCCCAAATAGTAAACCATTTCCAGAAAAACAAAAACGAAAATACACTACCTAATGTGATAAAAAATGTTTAAGTATTTGCTTGCAAAGTTTAATTTCAAATTTCTTTTTCACTAATATGTCAATGAAGTGAAAACAATAAAATGTAGTAATGTACTGTTA